CCCGCATCACCTTTAAAATGAGTTAAAAAAAGAAACCATAAAAAAAATTTGCCATATATCATCAGGTTTTGTAAGCTACTTCTAACAGACTAACAGGATCAGACAGACATCCCACCCATCTAATAAACAATCTTTTTAGCCCAGTTACTGGAAAGTTTCACAAATTGTAATACTGTTACTCATACAGGAGGTTGATGTAACCCCCCCCCCCCCCACCCCCCGGGGCCCCTTCTCCAACCCACAAAACATCATTCCAAACAATCAATCAATCAATCCTTCACTTATCTGCTCATTCACTGCTGCTGACAAGAAACATCATAAGCAGATAATTGTTACATGAAGGCCTTTCAATAGTGGGACACAAGAAGAAACATGGCATGAGTGGCATGAATATGGATGCATGTTCAAGTTCAACACTGATAAAAGGGATACTTGACACTCAAATCCTTGAATCAACAACAATCTTCGGCAAAAGGACCCATAATCTCAGGGGAGGGACAAGACTTATGATCACAAAGACAGCGAAAATTGTACCAGAGAGCCAACTGGCAACCTAGATGCCCAGACACTCAAGTAAGAAAAGTGAATTGCCATTTACCCCCAAAGAATACTCAAACTACAGTATCTAATGACCCCTTGGCCGGTTGGCCCTTGCCCCTCATTATCTTCCTTTCCCTAGCTTCTCTCTCCTCTCTCAACACTTTATCACTGCCCTCCCCTGTGGTAAATGTTTGAACAAGAAACCCAGAAGCTTAATTATGGGTTGATAGGTTCTTTAAGGAAAGGCCATCCATGCAATAACTCTTCAATGGATCAGTGTAACCCAAGAAAAGTAGAAGAGAAGAATAACATATCTACGGACAGCGTGTTTCTTACCTCTTTTGCTGATCGCTTTAGCTTCTTTCCACGATAGGACATTCTGCGACGTTTGTAATCCCTCTCTTCAGCCAATAACTCCTCTCTAGTCTTCATCTTTGTAGAGTCCTGGTTGATCAGCAGACAAGATTGAAATTATCTTCATTAACTTGGTCAAAACTTCACATAACAGCTTAGACAGGAAATTTAATAATTAAGACATCAAGATATGACATCAAACGGAAAGCTTGTGACTAGCATGAACATCAAACTTGATCTGCATAAAGCAGGGGAAAATGAAACATGGTGATAAAAAGGTCTATATAGGAACACATCCAGCTGTTGTAAACCTGTCCCCTTTCTCATTATCAGGAAACAGTTAACACCATCTGTATTTTGAGGCATAATGGCAATTGGCAAAAGTGTTACAGATACAATAAGTGGGACCAAATGCTTTTAAATGATCCATCGACTACATCAATATTGCAACATTGTCATTTTTTATCCTGGCAAAAATGAGTGTACAATTGTACATGCCCTGTATATGAGCAGAAATGGCCCGTATAAATGTTCTAATAGGAGTAGAATGGGAAAAAGGCTACGGCACATGCTGCCAATTCTTCCAACACTCAAGAATCATAAGCAATAACTCATAGAGAAACAGAAGAAGCAATATATTTTTAGTACCCAGGAAGATCCACCTCAAGTCAGAGGACTAACTTAAGTCATTTCTTAACTTTTGCAAATCATCTTGACAATCTTCTTAACTATTCTTTATCTCTCTATTCTAAACTTAATATAATTACACGGCCCTAAAGTTCTTTTCCGTTGAAATGATCACAAAATGAAAGTGGGCCTTCTAATCCTAGAAAGAAAGGTCTAAAAGTAAATTGTACATCAAATTATCTGCATTTTAAGCAATGAACACATACCTGATCATGTTGCCTCTGGAAAGGGAGACTATCATGTTCAAGCAGTGGTCTGTAATCCGGACGTTTTTGGCGTTCCTCATCAGCCTTCTTCGTAATATACTGATGCTCAGCCACCCTGCAAACAGAAAAGGAAGTCATCTTCATTTTGCTACCCCAAAACAAAATAAACATATTATCTGGGATGAGACACCCAACTATATTAACTGATGCTCAGCCACCCTGCAAACAGAAAAGTGTGCACAGTTGGATATTCTTTAAGAGAAGTTATCTTCAATTCTCTACCTCAAAACAAAATAAACATAGTATCCGAATGAGATCACCCAATTATATTAATCAGGCCAAGAAGAGGCAAGAATACACAAGGCAGAAATTGAAGCTTGTATAAGTATGTATCATCACATGGTTCAACAGGATATTAGTCATCCAGAATGTCAAAATTTTTAGTACATTTATCATCACACAAAATAAGATGACATGAACAAACCATTGATAAGCAGCAAGGGGCAGAGGATTCCTGAGTGCCCTGATTCTTTCTTCAAGCAATGCCCTTTCACGCAATGCAGCTATAGCAGCTGCTATTTGGTACACAAAAATAGACCTGCTAAACATTCTTTCATCTGTTGTGTCATTACCTTCATTCTTCCCAACTTCTCCTGCGGACTGACCCATGACAATATTTTTCTCTTGCTCAATTGCAGGGCCGTGCTCCATTTTCCTGTCTAAAGGAAACAGTGAGGCCTGAGATGCAGGATTAAGCAACAAATGTCGAAGCATCGCAATAACATACGACTTGGCATTTGTTTCGCCATACAAGATGGATAACTGCGATGCCAACCATCTCAGAACTTCAACTGTAACGGGACACTTAAACCTCAAAGATTTCACATCCAACTTTTTACCATTATCACCTACGTCACTCTTCAAAGCCCCATAAGAATGTGCAGCCTCTCTCCTAATTGCCTTTAAGCAAAGTCTAAAGAGTACAGACATATGATCCCTCATAGCAACATCAATTACAACACCAAAACGAGGTGAATTCGCGATCAACCACAACAACAATTCGCTTTCCATCACATATTCCATACACAAGAATGATCTAACAACACTATATGAGTACTCATTGGGAAAATCACTCCACTGCTCAATCTCACGCCCAATAACCCACATTTCGGATGGAAGTACCTTAATACTACTTCCCAAAAAGTGATCATTCTCCATATCACTAATACCAGCAAAATTCGAGCACTCTACAGATAAAACCCCGGGAAGGGTGAAAATCCTCCTAGTGGCATCATCATCTAATGAACTAACAACACCAGAACAACCCTGATAAAAGAAATTGGAACCGAAATCGACGTAGTCATCAAGGGATAAGCAGAGGTCTGATGTGGGGTCATTAAGGGGCTGAACAAACTTGTTCTGGTGAATCGAATGCTGTTCAGAATTCAGGGTTTTAGGGTATTGGAGGGAATCAAGAAAAATACCCAAATCAAGCGAAGAAGGGCAATGAAGGGAGTGCTGAAATAGGGAATTTGGGGGAACCCAGTGATTAGGGTTTGAAGGGCATTGAATTAGGGAATTGGAGGAGACAGAAAATGAGGGGATGAGAGAAGAGAGAGATTGAAGAGTAGAATTTGATGACTGTAGTAGGGTTTTGAGGGAAGAGAGAGAATTGGGTAAATCAGAAACAAGGGTTTGAGAAAGAGAATGAGATTGAGATTGAGGTAGAGGTGGCCATGAATTGAATTGGGGACTTGAGAAATTAGGGTTAGGGTTTAAGGGGTTGAAGGAGGAATTGAGAACTGGGTAATGAGAATTCATTGAAGGGGTATTAGCATTAGCTTCGAATTTTACAGAAAACTAAGCATATATGAAATTGAACAAGATCAAAAAGCATTGATAGAAACAAGATGATTCTGGAAAATGCAACATACAGCACACAGTAGAAGAGTATGTGATTTGGAGGGAATTATTTGAGAGTGAGCTGCTATGAATTTGAAGTGAGCTCCTTGACAATCTGGTGTTACGGAGTATTAATAAGTGGAGTAATTTAAGTACACAGACTTTTCCTAAACCATGCTAAAACGATGTTAAATTTCTTACGTACACTGATTTTACAAATATTTTCCCTCGAATATTATTTTGAAATTGATTTTTCACCGATTTGGCTATGAATTGAATCAAGTGTTTATCAAATTATATAAGCATTTTGCTATATTAAAAATAGGTTGAATTTAGCAATTATGAAGTATAACTTAGTATGATCAATTTTAAATCATTAGTAATTCATTGGTCGTTTAAAAGATTGAATCGGATTTTGAGTTGGTGATTTGTTGCTAATTCTTATGAAAATATGAATCAGTTTACATACTGACGTTTTCTATGATGAACTTTTCTTCCTGGATTGTCCGCTAATATTCTCCTTATCACGGGGAAAGACTAAAAATAACGTAGCCTAGTACATTATTAGCTTATACGAAGTAAGGGCTTGTTTGACATTATTTTTGGTTTTCAGTTTTCATTTTTTTTTAAAAAAAAAAACAAAAAACAGGAAATAAGAAAAAGGTGTTTTCACTTTTTTGTTGTCAGTTTTCAAAATTATCATGATTATAATAAGTTTGACTAATTTTTTATTCATTATATGATATATATCATATGATTTTGAAAAACAAAAAACCAAAAAATAGAAAACCACATCAACGCCATACGAGCCCTAAACTTTTGATAAGTAGAGTTTATTTTGCCAAATAAAAAATTATTTTACTTATTTGTGTTTACACTAATTCACTTAATAAATTTGAGGAGGAGCTCTTTTTCTATCAGCAATTAATTCTATTTTTATTTTTTTGAAACAACTTGCAATTCTACATAAGTTTCAGCAAAGAATTAATCATTCTAATTAAAATTAAGTGTAGATAAGTGGAAGTAAATAAATCTCTACATATACCCGCTCATTTCATAAAATTTAGTTTAATATTGTAGTAAGGACTACAAGTCAATATTGATGTACGAGTAGATAAATCTAGGCTAGTTGACACCCACAACATATAAGGTTATGAACTTCAATAGTAAATTAGTTTATAAGATGCGTGTTTTAATAAATCAAAAAAGAAAAGATGAAGTAACCATTTCACTATTGAACTGCCTTCAGTAATAAAAACTACCAGGTAATACAAGAGTTGTTGCCTGTTAGAAGAATCATTCTGCAAGCAGTTGAAAGAATAACTATAGAATTATATGGAGAACAATTCATGGCAATAATATGCTAACCCATATTATTCTTTGCAAAGTTTCTGATTAAGATAACACCTAATAAATAACTGATGAATACAGGATGACCATTTCGCCATCTACAGAAAATAATGCTATATCATTTCTGTGTAACTTAATGAACCATATTAACAAGCAGTAACCCTCCTCTCATTGGCTTCCATTTGTTTCCGTAGCTCGGTTGATCTAGAATCATCAATGTAATTTTGATAGAGATAAGAAGCAAATCCCCAAAGTGCTTGAAGCATAACAATTATCTTGACACCATTCATCTTGTCATGGAAGGCGATGACAGAAGCAATAGGACCGACAACCAATGCCACAGTACTTATAACATTCGAAAACAATGAAGAAACCAAAAAAATCAAGCCTACCACACCAACTGAGCACACCTGCCAACATACAGCGGTCCAGACCAGAGTCAACACATAAGAAGCTTTCCCGGTGTGGAAACCATGCATTTCTCCTTCTAATGTCCGCCACTGCCCACTTATAAATAAGGCAGCAACCGAAATTATAGTTGCAACTATTGACGGATAGATTTGCATCTCTAAAACAACAGAAAATGAAACTTTTTTCAGTGCCTTTTGAAAGGCAAGCTGCATCAGTGAAAGCAAGAGCGAGTAGATAGCTGAAGCTCCAATGGTGCATATAAATCCGATGGAATATTGTACCTTGCTCACCCCTTCTGGTGCATCAGAACTCTCGTTGACCCCTAGCAGAGCCGCAGAGTATGAAAGAATGACTACAGCATTTAGAATCAACGGGGTAAATTTCTGGGAATTTATGAAGTAAGCAAAGATAGCATTGAAAGCTAATTGGGTAGAACAAATGAGAGAATATGTGGAGGCAGAGAGATATAAGAGTCCATACGAATACAGCAAATTGTCACCCGCAAGAACTATTCCTAGGGAAACATATATTAAGCATATATACTTTCCCGAAACTGAATCAGATGGGGTTGGAGAGCTGGGGGAAGCTGGAATTAATAGAAGCGGGATAAATAAGATAGGGAACCCAGCAGTTTGAACAAGGGTGGCCATTAACGTGCTAGATCCACCCTTGTCATAATAAAATCTTCCTAAAAGTACAGCAGCAGTTTGTCCTGCTACAAGAAAGAAAATATTGACTCCCACCAAAATCCACCATTGCCAACGATTTAGTTTGAATAGTGTTGGCATCACAGTTTGTCCCCCATCTTTATCCAAGATAGCTTCTCCAACATCTGTTAGAAATAATAGTGCAATGTTAGGAATATAATAATGCAAAAAGGCAGGAAAACAAAAGTTTCAAGAACTCAGGTAAAGCTTCATTTCTATTAAGAATTACAATATGACAGAATATAAATCACCAAAAAAAAAAAAAAAAAAAAAGCTTTTCTCATTCTAGATTCCAGCAAACAGAGAAATCTAGTATCTGTTTTTAACTTGTGGTTAGGAAACATGTATGCCAGATAGATATGCAGAGTAGGAAGAAAACTCAGCAGTTAACAGAAATAAGTTATTCCAAGAGAAACAATCTCAAAAGTCGAAATGCATAATGTATCTTTTCCAGAGGTACAAGAATTGATTATGACTCTAGGGAGGAAGTGAATGGTTTTAATCTATAATCAAGGCTACTGGCAAGCAAGGTCATTCTGCAATGTCATATCTTTATTTGCAAACAACATGAAGTGGTGTGCTTCAGATAATGCTAAGGAGCTCCAAAGAAACCAAGTTCTGATAATGTCTGATCAGACACGAGGGCAGGGGATTACTCGCCTGCATAGATTAACATTTGATTGTTCTCTCTTAACTAGTTCAATTAGGTTGAGTCCCGGTAATACTCTGAGAAAGCACGTTCCAATTATATTTGAATCTTATCCATATTCCACCAGTATCACCAAATAAATGTTCTTCCCCTTATATTACAATAAGAGATCACAATATCACTCTTTCTCATGCTTCAATTACATACACTAACTATTCTTTCTCGTTTGTTTCTGTAATACTTCACTTGGTATTATAGCACATAAGTGACATCACTACCATCTTTCTTGAAGGCACTACAGCTTTATTATCTTCCAATGACACCAAAAGTTTGCATCATAATTCATAAATACCCATCAAAACCACTCTCCGGAGTCATCACTTTCCATCATTGTGCACTCCATTACTACTTGTATTATACTATCATTACACGTATTTTCATATCCCCACTCCATAGGACAAATCAAATTTGAGTTCATATAATCATATCCATCCTCATCTCCAAGCCCAATTTAGACTTATACTCTTTCATTCAGCTTTAAATTAGTTCATCTAACAAACTATAACAAAACACAATATAATCAGTCCATCACAATTATTTACAACACTATTGGCTCACTTAACCAGGCATACCCAAATACATGATAGAAGTCGTAATCGGTCAGAATAAAAGAGCAAATACTAAGACTACCTGATATGCCGATTGGGAAAGTAAACTGATTTTTTTTTATAATTAAAAAAAAAAAAAAGAAATTTCTTTTACAGTATTAACAAAATATCCAAAAACTAAACAAAAAAAATCCAAAATTTTCTAAAAAAAAAAAAAAAAATCCAAAAAGTGAGCAAGTCAAAATTATCATGCAAAAGCTTCATATACACGCCAAATTCCAAGAAAATATTCGAATTAATTAAACAAATACAAAAAAAAAATCGGAAAAACCTAAAAATCATCAATTGACAAAAATAACAACTGAATTTCGGATCTTCAAACCCTATGAATAATTGTGGGTGATTACAGGCAATGATCGAGAATAATGAAAGGTAAAATTTGAAATTGAGTAGAGAGAGAAAATTACCAGCAGGGAGAGCCATAACGCAGAGAAAAGAGAGGAGAGAGAAAATGGAGGAGAATGTGAAAGGAGGTTGAGCAGATATAGAGATAGACGGTAGATAAAAGCGGGAAGTAACAGGTACTGGTAATTGCCACTGTTGGTGTTGTGGTCAACGGCGGCTGGCTTTTTCTATTAAACAAGTACACTTTTTTTGGAGCTATTGTTATGAAATTCATGTTATACTTTTCGGGTATTTTACTGTTTTTGTGATGTTCATGTGTGATAGATGCTTCCGTAACTTTCTTTACTTCTATGAGTTTTTTTTACATTTGCGATGTGTAAACACAAATTTTATATTAGCAAAATATAGATTCAAAATAAATACAACAAAAAGTCACTTTAGCTTTGACTTGTTTCACGTGTTAATTTGATTTTGATCGGGGCCGTCAAGGCTTGATCACGATTAAAGACAGTTGATGCACAGTTTTGACTTATTGTTGATGTAGACCTTTGCCTTGTTGATGTAGACCTTTGATTTGAATTCTTGATTGAGGGTCGACGAGGCTTGATCTCGATCAACGACTATTTGATGTAGAGGTTGAACTGGTGACGTTTTTGATGATTTGAAGTCCTTCTTTCCTTCATGTTGAGGACCGTCGAGACTTGATCTCTTCCACGTGTGATCTTCTAGAGTAGAACGACACGTCGAATGCTTATTGTTCTTCTAAGGTTTAAAGTATTTGATGAGAGGTTTTCTCTGAGGAGGTTTAGAATATTTGAGAGTCCTTCTCGATATTTTGATTCTCCTTGTTTGCTCTTGATTTTCTCCTCTCCAAATGAAGTAGAGATCCTCTATTTATAGAGTAAGACACCCCGAAGGTTAGGGTTAGATGTACATTGGTTTTGGGTTTCCTTGATTATTATAACTCATTTTTAATGGGTTTTTACTATTAAATAAGCAAGTTTAATTAAAATAACTAAAATTGGCTAATTAATTAATTTAAATTTATAGTCAAATCAGCATCAATTCAATAAATTAACTTTTAACGTACTCATGTTTGTAATTATTATGAACTTTACATGAATGATAATCATCATGCAAACATATACCTTTTAATCATAAGAATTATCATTCACTTTTGGGAATGAGTAAATTCAATTTATCAACATTTATATATATATATATATATATATATAGATCGAGTTCAATATCTTAAATGTGCAACCAATAGACAATATTAGAACTAATCAAAATATTTTGTATATTTTTCTCTTGACATTGTGTTTATAAAATCACTTTAGTCCTGTGACTGGTGGACATATTCAGGTCACGTATACGGTATATTTGACCCTTTAATTCATTAATTTAAGGAAATTCAAGTCGTTACGTATGAATACTTCACGTTCAATTTATTCATCATTCCTATAATTCAACTTCATGTATATAAGTATATAATCAAATTCAATCACACATCAAACAATACTTATACCATCGTGTTAGTATGTTTCATAATAGTACCCTCTTATAAGGTTACTAAGTTAATGTCAATTTTAATGCATGTTCATGAGATATTTTAAAGTATATATTAAAAGAACAAAATTTGGAACTTCAAGTCCAAAATAGAAAAGGAGTATGCAATTATAGAGTATTAGCTTGCAACTAATCATTGATTTTATAGTTTAAAATACAATTGTACAGACATGCATCTGACTAGTATCAAGCAATTCCTCGACAAAACAAATAAAGATAAATCTAATCTAATATATATAAATAAATTAGGTTTTTTTGAAGAGCATTCGGAACGCCACGTAAGAAATATACTTATTTCGACCAATAAGAAGAAAAATTTGTATTGAAAACTTTTGGTGACTAACAAACAATTTATCAACTTATATTAGCTTACCTCAGTGCAAACCAAAAGATCAATATTTAAAACTACCTTTCAGCTTTGGTGCTAATAACGTGTTATGAAATTAAAGAGAAGATAATAGATCTATCTTCTATTTCTGAATGATGTAGGAGTACATATATATATACATGTGATACAATTAAACCTAGTATATCTAAAATATTCTTGAATAATCATAAGGGTATAATGGGCATCCACTAAATACATATATTATATAACAAAAGTATTATTATTATTATTATATTTTTTTTTTTTTTTTGAAACGATATACTAAAATATTATTAATCCTTTCATCTCACATTAATTGTAATGTAATTTAGACATTGAGATTAATCTTATGGCATATCACAATGTTTATTGTATTTTTTTTAATGTATTTTTTTTTTCTTTTTTACTTCTAAAATTTCTAATAATTCATTTTGTATATAAACTAATAAACAAATAGTAAAATATTATTGTAAAATTGTGCCTAGCACTGGTTTTGAACCGGTATTTTATAAAACCCGTACTGCCGGGTTTCAGGAAACCACAGGGATTGCCCCCGCATCATTTTTTTTTAAAAAAAATGAGCCTAAACTTGTTATAAGCTGCATTAATAACACAGAGTAGTTAGTTTGGTATTCAGTCACCTCACTCAGTCAGTATTTCTCACTAGGGCTCTCGATCTCCTCCGTCAAACAATTCTTTCTTTGTGGTTTCCATCGTCAATTGAGGTTTGTAAATCGTTTCATACTGTAATTCAATCAATGCTTTTCTGTAAATTTAATTCGTTTGGAAGCAATATAAAATTACCTCTCAAATTGTAGAGGTGGATGATAGATGTCCAAGGTGTGGCGAACAGTGTGAATCTGTTGTTCATATGCTGTTTCTTTGGCAAAAAATTGGTATGCTTCTCCCTTACGCTTGGATGTTTATGATTTTTGTGGTATTGTATATTGTTGTCATGGATTGGATGGTTTGTTTATGGGATAAATATAAAGAGGTGGAATTTGTTTTGGGGATGATTTGGAATGAACAAAATAGCTGGGTTTTTAATTATAGGCGGATGGGTGTTGTGGGTTGTATTCAGAAAGCGTCGATGATTGTTGGGGAGTATGAAACGGCGGAGATAAGATGTTCGAGATTGGGGGTTAGTTGCAGCAGCCCCACGGGGTGGTCACCGAAGTTTGAAATTAGACTAGACTCGACCTCACCGAACCTGACCCGGACACCTGACTCCTCTAAATGGGACAATCTTGAAGGGAAAAAGGGTAAAGCCAGTAGTTAACACAAGTTAGAGAATAAAATGTCTTAAGGATGCAACACAGTCTGCTGCACGATTTCTTTCTCTGTAAATATGCCTTGACTGTGACCAGAAAACTACTCAGCAACACCTGAACATCTAAAATCTAATTGTATATTGGTGTCTTAGTTGCGTGTTATAAGTACATATATACATGATACATGAAATTAATCTATATTGAATTCATCTAAAATGAAATGGCCATTCCTTTTCTTTTGAATTGAAATTTTGTGTATCGTCTTGTTCATTTTTAAAAAATATCTGAATAATCACACTTTTGTAATCGGATCTTCAGATAGTGATAAGTTCTCTTTTTTCTCCGGCTTGCAACAATTGTATTAGCTTGAATGTAAGGGGAGGCGATCATTACCTATAACACGTGACATTGCATTCCCTAAAGGTTATACTGCCTAAGTATCTGCAATGTCTGGGAATGTATTCAAGTGGGCAAACTCAGATGACAATGATTCTTCTACCTCATCAACTGCAGTGTCTCTTACTCCCAATTTCATCCTTCCTGTGGAAAGAAGGCCAAATTTAGCTGAAGTGTCCAAGTCAGGTGACAGTGTTCCAATAATAGATATGGGAAGGGGAGATATTGATGGTCTTATCAAAGAGATAGCAAAAGCATCTGAGGAGTACGGACTTTTTCTGATCATAAATCACGGTGTAACAGAAGAGCTTTGTGAAAGCATGTTGTCTGCTGTTACTGACTTATTTCATCTTCCTCCTCAAGTTAAGGCTCGTCTTGTCTCAGATGATCCTACTAAAGATGTAAGGTTTTGTAATCATTTCCGAAAAGCTGAGGATAAGGGCGACCAAAAGGCTAAGAAATTTAGCATGTGGAGTGAGGTTTTTAAACACTCTTGGCACCCGGCTGATGACAGTTTTGCTGAACTTTTGCCATCAGATCCTCCCAACTACAGGTATGCATCTTGAGCATTGCGGTTGGTTAGTTTTTGAATGGAGATATGGATTAGGTTGATATTCTGAACATTCTGATTATAGTTCATTGCTTTTTTCTTGGCTTGTAATTGGTTGTTCAGTTTTTAGTTTATTGGGATTATGTTATGTATTTGTACTACTTCTATTCTTATGCACAATTGATTTTGTTATTGTAGGAGGGTAGTGACTGCATATGCTAAAGAAATCGGATTTGTCATGAGTTTGCTTCTGAATTTGATCTCACAAGGTTTGGGACTGGAGGGAGATGTTTTACAAGATAGGTTAGGGAAAAATCCCTTGTTTAGGGCTCAAGCGAATTACTACCCACCTTGTTCAAACCCGGATCTTACACTCGGATGGGATGTTCACACTGATAGAGATGCACTGACAGTTGTGCTACCAACTTCAAATATGGAGGGTCTACAGATCATGAAGGACAACAAATGGATTGTGGTCGATCCTGTTCCAAATGCGTTAATAGTCAATATAGGCGACCAATTGCAGGTTTGTTAATTTTCGATGCATTTCCTTATACAACTTATGTTCCTTTAACCTGGACTATTTCAAACAATGTTGCATGAAAGCAATACTCTGACATCTACCTTCATTTCTCACTTTCATTTTGTCTTTCTATCTTTGGATGTAGGTTTTAAGCAATGGTAAATATAAAAGCGTGCTGCATAGAGTAGTGACTAATGAACACCATAGTAGAGTGTCACTGGCAATGTTTTATGGCCCAGACAAAGACGCTTTAATTGGTCCAATGGAGAATTTGATCGACAATCAGCATCCTCAACTCTATTAGAATTACTACTTTCAGGAATTTCTTGAAGTCAATAGAAACCAGGAAGGGAAGAATCGCAAGATCAAAGAGTTTTTTGAGATTTAATGGTAGATGGCGACTTGTTTGACAGGAATGCAATTTAACTAGAGGTGATCATTGGGTGGGCCGGGCCGAAGCTAAAAAAATTTGCCCATTTCTCGGGCCGGTGCCGGGTCAAACTTCGGGCCGAATTTTTTGTGCCCAAACCCGCCCAAAGTGGTCGGGCCGTGCGGGCTTTTCAGGCCGAGCCCAGCCCGATTTCGGGCTGAAAATTTCTGTCCAAAGCCCGCCCAAAATCGGGTCGGGCCGGGCCAACGGGTCGGGCCATACTTGATCAGGTCTAAGTTTAACTTAAGGTAGATTCGGCTGAATGGAGGTTGATTAGATTTAGCTAGGCCTTCGTTAGTAATTCAGTTTAATGTTGGAATGTATATAGATTAATAATATTGCTTTAATTATAACCTTTTTATCCTCAAATGATCAGTTGGTGTTCTTTTTCCATGTATGAGTAGACTAAAATTTAATGACAATTGGTAAGAGTTGAGAATACAAATGATAAGTTGCAGGCTTACAAGTTACAACACAAGAAGCTCTGTTTTTCTTATTTCCTTTCGACTGTGGAAGAAAGGCAGAAGCATCTTATTCATAATACTGGACATGGAAACAGGGAGAACATTGTACAGAATATGAGATAAGCCTAGGAACAGAGAAACTATTGTTTGACCTAAATTTTTTTATAATTTCTATGAGAAAACCAAACCAAAAAAAATTCTCTTCAGCAAAGATGAACAAAAAGGTTTTCCACAAAGCAAGAGAAATGGAATTGAACATAAATAGCTTAATTTTGTGTGATCAATACATATTGATATTGAATAGCACAAGGATATGAATTTTTTTAGTTCCAGTTGTAATTGTTATGACTGCGAAACACCAAAACCTTCCTAATATCCACTTATAAATTCTTTAATAATACTACTCTGTAGTGTTGGAGATGAATTAATCTGGAGTAGTTATCTGCATCCTTCCATAATCATGAATAGGGAAGTGCATCTTTTCTCATCCTTTAGGCGGAAGAATAGAGAAGACATCTGCTTCCTCGGGAAGTTGTCTAGTTTATGGAGGCCATCTGCTGCTACTTGAAGCTGTCTGGGTTCAAAAAGAAAATATATGATCCCAATCTGAACTTTCCACTCCATCTGAAATCATTGGGGCAGAGCAAGTCTTGTGTAACTTCATAATTTTTTCAAGCTCTTTGCTATAACATACTTCGTATAATTTAGCCACCTAAAGAAAAAGAATAAGAAAAATTAAGAATTTACCAGAATGAAATAGATGACTTTTTCCAGTTCACTGTGTTTTGACTGGATGAGTGTTTATTTCTGAAAATAAAGGTGCAAAGCCTTCCAACTAGACATGCATATCTCATGAAATGGGGAAAATGGGGAAGTATATCCAATTTAACCAGAATTCTAGATAAGAGTTTAAGGAAGGCGAGATTACCACATCTCAAATTATTTGAGAATTAGATGAGAAACACTGCAGAAATTTCAGAGCATTGACGTTAAACATATAAGGTGCTAACTTGTGCAACTGTCCTCCGAAACCTCTCAAAGCCAAGCCTCTCATCTTCCTTGCTAACATTTGAGCAGCAAGTGAGAGATGAAGCAGCATAGTGTGAGAATAAGGTGCTGCTGTTATGTTTCTGTCCAAAATATCCCGGTTGTTTTCCACTGCTCCAAACAGCACATACCTTGAACTGAGAGTGATGAGTCAGATAATATTGGGCGAAATGTGCTTGCCTTTAACTCTGATAAAAGGTAGGGGTTTGAGAATTGAAAACATAATTGGTCCTTATATAGATCATCAATGACGACATAATGTAAAACATCATTAGCACTAGATTTACAGGGCCATGAGACTCCATCTCCTTTAAAAGTGGAGAGCACCAGCATTGTTGTTGTTCTGCAAAGACCTTGTACATAGCATCACAGACAACCAAGTCAGGTTGAATCCTAAACATGACAATCTTATCCAACAACAAATTAACAAGAATAAGACCATTGACCAAGGAGATAACCATGACATGTCAAGCTAATAACCTATTTAAGGCTTTTTACCAACAAGGGAGAAGCAAACTTGATAATCCGTGTGTACCAAGAGGCATTAACAATTGGCAATGGTAGCAACTGAATAATTTACTGAGATATGTGAGCTGGGCAGTGGAAACAGAAGATTGAACTAAACAATCCCATAGAGAGAGTGGTCAAGAGTTTCTTGTGAAATATTAAGATTGAATACTTATTAATATTGAGAAATTAATACATACGTGTGGTCGTGTGGAAGTCTATTGATATTCATACTAGTAAAGTTGGCACTATTTCTGCCATATTCCGGACAATGTTGGCAATATGTATGTCAGCTTTCTGTAATAGACTAACCTAAGGAGGGGCAGTATGGGTATTCTAGTAATATTACTAGGTTAATCGTCCTTAGTATAAATAGAGAGGGAGGGGAAAAAAATGGTAGGCAGAAATTTGGAGTAAATCCTTTCGAGACTTGTGACCTCAAGTCACTAATTAGAGAGTTATGACCTCAATTCACTAATATGAGATTTGTAGGCGAAACCTACTACCTTTTGTAAGAAATCATTAGCAAGTTTAATATAATTTCAAGCTTTCATCCTTAAATTTCTGCTTATTTATATAAATATATAAATTAGATTATTCAGTCCATTACACTTTCTCCACCTAACTGTTTCTCATGCTCATACACAGCCACATCGAAAGAAATTAATTATCAAAATGACATTACCAGAATGCGCAAGTTGAACGTAGGAAATTTTACCATGCAACAGCCAACAGATGCTTTGACCAGAGAGCTTATGGAATAGAGATCTTATCAGAACATTGACACCATTAAGCTGTTTACTTGTGCTTCTGGTTCTTTAAAAACTTTTGAAACAAAGCTTTGTCTGCATCGCTAACATTGTGATCTGCAAATGAGCCACTTAACAGTGAAGTAGTGTGACCATCAAGTGGGAACCCTTTGCTAGTTTTAATTATGACAAACTCTAAAGCCTTTTTGAAATCATTGGCTGAAAGAAAACCACTTATAATTGCATTATAAGTAAAATAATCTGGAGAGCAGCCATTGTCCTCCATTTTCTTTAATTCTTCAATAGCATCGTTCGGTAAACCATTTTTACAGAGCCCCTTAATCATTGCATCGTATGTATATTTGTCAGGTTTTAAACCCTTAGCTAGGAGAGAAGAGAAGATATTTCTTCCTTCTTCAAATCGCCCAACTGCACAAAGGCCTTCAATTAGTATACTGTATGTGAAAATGTCAGGGACCACTCTGATTTCACCCATTTGTCTCACCATTTCCAATGCCTCATTAACCTGTGAGTTTTTACAGAGATGATCAAGCAATGAATTATAAGTATATACATTTGGTTTTACGCCTTGAGCCTCCATTTCCTTGAGAAGCTTTCTTGCAGATTGGAGTCTATTCTCCTTGCATAAGGCATCTATAAGAGTGCTATATGTGACAACATCAGGTTTTAAACCTCTAAGCAGAATATCCTGGACCAAGTCTAGGACTTTGTCAACCTTCTTAACCTTGCAATATCCATTTAGCAAGCTGGTAAAAGTCAGAATATTAGGCACAAAACCATTTTTCACCATTAAATCCATTATATTCGAGGCTTCATCCATTTGACCACGTGAACAATATCCATCCACCAGAGAAGTGTAAGTAATTACATTTAGAGCATCACCCCGCTTATTCATCAGTCCCACTACAGCTTCTGCCTCCTTAACCTTCCCTTGTTTGAAACACATGTCAATCAACATGCTATAGGTCGAGACATTGGGAGCCATCTTATTCTCCAACATCTCATTCAACATTATCTTTACATCCATCCATTGCCCCAAAGTGCACATCCCTCGAATTAAACTACTATAAGCAGAGACATCAGGCTGAACACCCTTGCTTTTCATGTCGTAAAAAAGGTTGACGGCCTGAGGTAAAAGCTTGTCTTTACAAAGACTATCAATAATGGTGCTATATATGACAACATTAGGATTACAAGAGCTAAACCCAGAATTCATCATTGCCAGCAATCCAAGCGAATTCGCATAGTTCCCTATTCTACAAAGACCTTTGATCAAAGCACCACAGGTAACAATAGTGGGTTGAAACCCTAAATTGACAATTTTATCCAACAATCCAACAGCTTCCTCCAACAAATTAGCATGAATAAGGCCATTAATAAGGGTAGTAAAGGTCACAATACAAGGATCATACCCAAGCTTAATAATTTTCCCCAAAATCGAAAACCCGAAATCGACACGACCCAAACAGGAGTAACAATTAATGAGGACGTTCAAAGAATAAAGATCACAAGAAACACCCAAAAATTGTAAATGTGCAGAGAGAGAAATTACAGTTAAATAATTAATGGGTTCTTTAGGTTGAACCTTAATCATAGAACATAAAATGAAATTAAAAGCAGCAGCAGAAGGAAGAGGATTCATACGAGTCATTTGATGGAAGAGAGATACAACTTCGTCGAGCTTGTGAAAACCATGTCTGCATTGTTGTATCACTGAATTGAGGAATAATTTGGGGTTTTGTTCTTTATTTGGGGAGGAGAGAGAACTGAACAAAGGGTAGCAGAAAGAAAGAGAAGTAGGAAGACGAAGGAATATATTTCCGCCATTAATGGAAGTTGAAGCTTTTGCAATTATTTTTCTTCCAACTGCAAGTTTATTGTTTGCCATTCTTGTGAAAGTTGAAGGGGGTGTTATAATAAATTACGAGTAATAAGATTGAATTTGGTGAGGGTTAGGGTTTTAGGTAGAAACTAGCCTTTAGGCTAAGTGGCTACTGGCTAACCCATGATTACTTCGTGTATCCATGACGACTTTGAATCCTTGGAGTTAGGGTCTACATATTTGAACAAGATATAAATTAAAACTAATAAGTGTAATTATGGTAAACTTAGTTTAAATTACTCGTATATAGTTGATACAAAAACAGTTTTAATGTGGATGTCAACTATTTTGATTGGTGAAAGTTTTAGATTGATACCAAAGACCTAATATCGAATCTCGTTTACATCATAGACATTTTGGTACTCTCACCAAAAAGAAAAACAAAAAAAAAAAAAAATCTTATAATTAAATTAGTTAGCTTTTGAGATTAAAATATAAACTATAGTACTATACTGTTATGTATTGCATTAGCATTTATAATCCTTAGTATTTGAATTTAAATTGGCTAATTTTTACTTGAGACCCTCAATTTTATCATTTTATGTCCCATTATTATTATATTATTATTATGTCACACTTCCACATCATAAAAGTTCACCAAAAACATTAAAAAATTATTTGAGACAACATGCCCAAAGTATCCGTACTTTGGTAGCATTCTCAATTAATTCAATAGTCAAATAGCACTTTGACCTACAATAGTGTTATTACTACAGACTAGAGAGTACTTATAAGTGTAAGACTGTAAGTACAAAATTACATACCATCAGTCCATTAATACTTCAGAATTCAGTAAGTACAACAGTTCAACCTGCTTGGAACATATGCAAGCAGGAAATACGGGGTATCAAGCAGCCATATCATATACGCTGGCCCTCCAACTCCTTCATTACATTTGCAACATACTTTGTACAAACATTAAGCTTCCTCTAGAACTTTAAATAATTCAAGTGAATAATCCATGTTCTCCCTCGGAAATAAATGCAACTTTTTTTTTATATATAAAAAAAGAAAAATACAATGAGCAAGTGTTATTTTCATATAGGAAACCCTCCAAGCAGTATTTCTCTCCAAATAATTCAGACCCATCATTGCACAGCGCTTACATGAACATCTGAAAGGTATATACACAGATGATCAGACAATACAACAAAGCTCTGAATATGTTGAAGAGAGTAGCACACTAAGGCAATTACCTATCATGCAACTCAACTAGCAGAGCTATTTTATCAAGCCCTTTGCTATTACAAGATAGTTAAAGTGTCCTCAAGAGAAAGATATTCATGCAACTAACTTGTAGATTTGAAAACAAAAGGATTCTGAAATGCAAAATAAATAAACCACCTAAGCTGTAACATGAAAGCTGAATTGGCAATCCTCTGAACTGCAGCTGTCACATTAAAGAAGAACAGCATACTATTTTAAATCATTTCGCTTGTTTACTTAGCCAAACTAATTATTATCCAAACAATATCCTCTCAGCTCCCTCCTTTCCTCTTCCTTTCATATCCTTCTGAAGAACACCAAAGACTTGATAAATATATGAATGTTAGATGCATGTTTTCATGGGAATTTAGGAGTTACATTTGGAAGATCTTACAACAAGATTTATATGCACAGCACAAAATATAGAACACAAGGATGATAAGCTAAATTAGTAAGTATCCTAGAATACTATATCAGCTAGCACTATAGCATAAATTGACTGGAGTAAGCATATGAAGAAATGCAACAGTATAGCATAGTTGGGCATTTATGGCCAATATTTATTATGAAATACACTGCTTGATTCACCTCTCAATAGCAATGTTGTAATGATACAAAGTTGAACAATTGTCAATAGGGACTTGCCTATCCCATCTACTCACATAAACTTAATCCTTCCCTTCTGTATAAATTTCTCACCACCCCTTCTGTCCAAAAAAAAAAGATTACCTATCTACACAAGAAACACAAATTTGTATGATTCATGAAATGGGGTAGTATATTTACTTTAAAATGGAAGACGATCAAGAAAGATTACTGTGTTACAAAACTTTGAACAAGTAAACCTGAGGAAAAGCATGAAGCAGATTAACCACAATGAGAAAATTGACATCCTCCAGCATTAAGCTGCAAGCTTAGTCAATCTCTAAAATCACTCGAAGCAAAGCAATTACTTGCATTGCTTACATAGCAAGCAGCAAGCAAGTGATGAAGCAGCAAAGTTGTACAAGCGTCAGGTGCAAGCCCTTTGCTATTCATGATTCTGAAAAACTCGGATGCCTTTTGGACATCATTACCACAAAGAAATCCTCTGATAATCATATTTTAAGTTCAATCATCTGGAGAGCAGCCATTATCCTGCAATTCAAATGCATCATTAAATAATCCCTAAAACAGCATCTCTCAATCATTACATTGTATGCGTAATTGTTTGGTTGTAATACCTTAGCTCAGAGTTAAGACAAGATTTCCACTGCTTTATCAAGTCGCTAACTTGATAAAGGCCGTCAATCAGGAAATTGTAGGTGACAATATCAGGGATTACTCCACTAGTTGTCATTCCTTCCAGCATCCCATCAATTTGTGAGCATTTACAGAAGCCATGAATCAATTATTCACAGGTAACCACAACTGGTGTGAGGTTCTGAGCTCTCTTTTTCTGTATAAGTTCATTTGCAAACTGGAACCTATTCTCCTTGCATGAGGCATCTATGAGAGTGCTATATATGACAACATCAGGTTCCAATCCTCTATGATGCATATCATGGAAGAAGCCAAGGGCTTGATCAAGCTTTTTACACTTGCAATATCCACTTATCAATACATTGTATGTATAGTTGTCTGGATTTAAACCCTTGTCTTGGAGAGAAGAAAAGATGTTCACAGCTTCTTCAAGTTGACCAACTTGACAAAGGCCATCAATTAGGATATTGTAGGTGACAATATCAGGGACTGGTCCACTGCTTACCATTCCTTTCAACATTGTCATTGCCTCATCAATCTGTGAGCTTTTACAGAGGCCATCCATCAATGAATTAAAAGTAACAACATCTGGTGTGAGGTTTTGAGATCTCATTTTCTGGATAAGGTGATTTGCATGCTGGACTTTTTTCTCCTTGCATAAGGAATCTATGAGAGTGTTATACGTAACAACATTTGGTTTACATCCTCTAAGACACATATCATGGAACAAGCCAAGGGCTTGGTCAAGCTTCTTACACTTGCAATATCCATTTATTATTACATTGTAAGTATAATTGTCAGGAACTAAACCCTTGGCTCGAAGAGAAGACAAGATATCCACTGCTTCATCAAGTCTCCCAGCTTGACAAAGGCCATTAACTAGGATATTGTAGGTGACAATATCAGGGACTACTCCACAACTTGATACTCCTTTCAGCATTATCATTGCCTCATCAACCCGTGAGCTTTTACAAAGCCCATCAAACAATGAGTTATAAGTAATTATGTCAGGTGTGATTCCTTCAGCTTCCAATTCCTGTATAACTTGACATGCAATCTGGAGTCTGTTGTCCTTGCACAAGGCATCTATAAGAGTGCTATATGTAACTAGATTAGGTGCTAATCCTCTAAGAGGCATATCCTGGACCAAATCTAGGGCTTTGTCAAGCTTCTTAGACTTGCAATATCCGTTTAACAAGCTATCATAAGTCACAATATTAGGCTTGCAACCAATTTTCATCATCAAATCAATTAGCTCAGTGGCTTCATCCATTTGGCCACACAAACAATAACCAACCAACAGAGAATTGTAAGTAAAGATATCTGGAGTTTTACCCCTTTTGGTCATGAGGCCCAGTATAGCATGTGCTGCACTAACCTTCCCTTGTTTACAACACATATCAATTAACATGCTGTAGGTCTCAACATTAGGATCTATGTTGTTCTCCAACATTTCATCCAACATTTTCTTTGCATCATCCCATCGCCCCAAAGAGCACATTCCTCGAACTAAGGTGTTATAAGTTAAGACATCGGGTTGAATGCCCTTTCCTCTCATCTCAGAATAAAGTTTGGTGGCCTGAGGTAAAAGCTTATCCTTACACAGACTATCAATGATAGTGTTATATATGATAATATCAGGCTTATTAAGAGAAAATCCCGAGTTCATCGTCACAAGCAAATTAAGAGCATTTGCATAGTTCCCTATTCTACAAAGACCTTTGGTCAGTGTACCATAAGTCACAAGGTTGGTTTGAAACCCAAGCTTAACAATTTGATCAAACAATCTAGCAGCCTCTTCCAACAGATTAGAATAAATAAGCCCATTGATGACGGTATTGAAGGTCACAATACTGGGATGAAACCCAAGCTTAATGATTTTTCCCATAATCGAAAACCCGAAATCGACACGACCCAAGCAGGAATAACAATTAACAAGGATGTTAAGAGAAAAAAGATTATAAGGAACGCCCAACAATTCCAAATGCGAAGAGAGATGAATTACAGTTGAATAGATTTCAGGGTAACGAGGTTTAATCTTGATCATTGAAGACAAAATGACAGTAAAATCAAAATAAGAAGGGAGAGGATTCATACGGGTCATTTGATGGAAGAGTGAGACAGCGTCGTTGAGGTTGCGAAATCCCATCTTACATTGTTGTCTCATTGATCCGAGGAAGAATTTGGGATCAACTTCATTTTCAGCGGAGGAGAGAGAATTTCTCTGGTAATTTGAAGAAGAAGAAAATGAAGAAAGAGGGTATGAAAGAAGATGAGTAATGTTACCACCATTAATGGAAGCTGAAGCTTTTTTAATGAATTCTTTTCCAGAAACTCCAATTTTATGTGCCATTCTTCAATTGCAAAAGCCCTAAATTTGCTTTCACTAATCTGCACAAATTGAAGCAATTGGAAATTGAAAAATGGAATTGATATCCTTAATTTGAAAAGGGTTTAGGTAACATAGTATTCGCCATTGATGGAAGCTGAAGTTTTTGTAAAGATCGATGATTCAGCGGAAAATAGAGAACGGGAATAAGAACCCTAATTTGCAGAGAGTTAAATCAGGGTAAAGATTGTTTAATCTAGAAGTTAAGTTACTCCCTCTGTTAATATTTATTTGCAACTTTGGGAGGTTTTGCGGTTCATGAGACAAAATTTAAGGGGCAAACATTAGTGGGAGTAAATGAAAGTGATTAAAGTTTTGGAGAGAGAAAGTTGGTCCACCCACTAGCAAATGAAAATGATTAAAGTGTTTGGAGAGAGAAAGTTGGTCCACCCACTAGTAAAATTATTAAAATCAGAATTTTTAATTAAGGGTAAATTTGTAATTTTCAGGGTTTTTGTGTACTAAAAATAGAAATAAAATAGAAAGTTGCACATAATGATTAGCGGACTAAAATAGCAAAAGTTGCAAATAAAAATTAACGGAGGGAGTAGTTATTTAACCAGGAGAGCTGGAGGAAAAGAGAGATTTGAGTGTGTGCATTTGAGTAGACTGAAGAAATTCAATTTTAGAGATGATTTAGGAGGATTGAAGTTTTTTTTTAAATATTAGCGGGGCATTTGGAATGTGGGAATGAGATTGGAAATTAATTGTTGGGAATTCATGAAAATATACCAATACGAATACCTTGTTTGGATAGTGATTTGAAATATATAGGGAATAAATAACAATTTTACAAATTTACCCTTACTAATATTTTCTTTCATTGTTTTCAATAATGGCAAAAATGTTATTTTAAACTTATTTCCATTTCTATTCATTTATTACCTATCCTCCCTAGGTAATAAAATGGTGGCAATTCTCCCCTAAATATTCTCATTTCCAAACCTATTTTTATTTCCATTCCAATCAAACAAACAAAACTTTTTTCTTGAATTGGGATTAAAACTCCTGAATTGGGATTAAAACTCTCAATTCCACCCTCAATTCCCAAATACCAAACACCCCCTAGGAGGATTGAATTAGATTAATGAAGTGCTAACAATCGAGTCTTCATTTTCTAAATTAAACGAGGTTTGTGATTCACAAAATGGTATAAAATGATATCTTTAAGTCTTATATAAACAAAAATTATTCGTATCTAGTTTCTTTCTAATTCCAAAATTGCTTATGAATTCATAACCCATTGATTGTTTGATTTAATACTGTAATAGTTTAATCTATTCTAATTTAATCTAGAGGAATATCGAGTTCTATAAATTTTATTCCATAGAAATTTTCTACATTGCTATTCCAAATCATCAAGGATACTAGTTTGCAATTTGCGTAAGATAAATAGGATAAGAATCAAACACATATTTCACCAAGTTACACCTACTTGACAAATTGCCATGTTCAAAAGTTTGGACTGCCACCCATGTATTCTAGTCATAGTTTTATCTAAGAGACCAAAATTTGTTTTTTTTTTTTTTTTTTTTTTTTTTTTTTGACAATAGCGAGACCAAAATTTGTTAGGGCTAATCACTACTCCAAGGTATTTACCAAAAGAAAAATTGGAGGGAAAATTAAATTCCTTTAATTCACTAAGTCTCTCCTAATATACGGAGATTTCACCAAAAGCATTCAAAACTTCCATAATTAGTTAATTACATCAATGTTAGTTTTGGAAGATCTTCTAAATGGGAAAATATCATCAGCATACAAATATGAAACATGTAAATAGAGCAAGTAATTTTCATAGATTTTCAAAGACCTTGTTCAATTAATTTATTTTCCTATTATCATAGAAAGAGGACGTTCGATACAAAGGACAAAAATATAAGAAGACATCGGATCTCCTTGTTTAGTGCCTTGAGGGTTTAAATTCCTTGGTAACCTCACCATTCTAAGGAAGTGGAATTTGTGGAGTAGTGATGTAATGCACGATGATATTAATCATTGATGAAGGAAAATTAAAACCAAGGAGAGTTTCATGAATGAAATTCCACTCTATATTGAAATAAGTCTTATTTAAGCCCAACTTCTATGTTATTGCCTTTTCTTTTCCTTTTTTTTTATTTTTTAAATGTGAGCTATTTCCTTTATTTCTTTTCCTTGAATGAAACTAGATTGAAGGTGGCTTCTTAATATCCAGTACAAGTTTCAACTTAGAAGAAATCAATGTTGTGACTAATATATAATCGTGTTACAAAGACCAATAGGTCTAAATTGAGATAAAAAATTAAATAAACTTGGTTTTTTAATTTAGGGAATTAAAGAAATGTAAGATTTATTAATGAAAAAAAAAATACATCGTATTTTAGTAAAAAAAAATGAAATTTAAAATTAATGATTAATTTTTTTTTGGAAATTTTGAAAATAACCACCCAAAAAAAAATTCACTTTTAAATTTAACCACCCAAAAAAAAAAGAATTTTAAAATAACCACCCACTAAATTAAATTTTCACACAGATGACCACCCAATTGTAAAATCCGATGGAAATTTAAGACATTGGGCCCACCATAACTTATTTCCCTCCTTTTTTTTTTTTCGTTCCATTTCGACTTCCCTCACTGAACTTTGTATCCTTGCCTTTTCACCGCACCTTCACCACCAACAACTCCTAAACCACAGACTACCGGCTGCCTGCAACCTAGCAACTCGCCGCTGCCGCACCACCTAGCAGCAAAACAACTACCTCCAACCGTCGAACAGCAGAGCAGCCACCAGTCCCCTCTCGCCGCTCCACCCATCGCACTAATACAGCAACCCAGTTTGCCGCATCCTTCAGCCTCGCAATCAATCATCATCGCCCAGCTCTCAACCGCACAACAACACCATTTTCAGTCACCAACGCAACCACCACCTTCATATCCACACTTCAATTCACCAACACCAAAACGCAGCAGCAATTGCGACAATTAGAACCTCCAATCCACCATCAATTACAGCAATTCGCCACCCAATTACAACAATTCCGACCTTCAATAGCAACAACAACTTTGAATTGTGCTCCAATTGAAGATCCAGAAGGTGCGTTCATGGAAGCAGATTCGAAATAACTTAAGCACCCCAATTTTCCCCAATTGTACAAACAATTAACTAATCAGCCCAATTAATTATTGCGTTGAAATCAAATAATTCGTGCTAAAAAAACAAACCCTAACTAACAATTCCGCCAATTTTCCCCAAATTAATTGCAATAAGAACCCTAATTTTAAAAATTCAGAAACCATACCTGCTGCGATTACAACTGCTGTATGTATGGGGGATTCGTCTGCAACTAGGGGATTTGATTTCGCTGCAAATTTTGAAGAAATTGAAGGAGATTTGTGGGTTTAATTTTGGGGAAGTGTTTACTCTGAAAAAATCGTGAACAATTTCAATTACAAAGGGAAAAGTAGCCGTAATTAGCCTTTGGGTGGGCCCAATGTCTTAAATTTCCACCGGATTTTCAAAATGGGTGGTTATCTGTATGAAAATTTAATTTAATGGGTGGTTATTTTGAATTTCTTTTTTTTAGGTGGTTAAATTTAAAAGTGACTCTTTTATGGGTGGTTATTTTCAAAATTTCCTTTTTTTTTTACTATTGTATTTTCTATAAAACAAATATTATCAACATTATTATTCCCTTCATGATTTTTAAGTGGTACACTTTGACCGGTACATAGTTTTAGGAGTTCAATAGAGTAATAAAAATTTGCAAAAGAAAAATAGTGAGGTTAATAGTTTATTGAGAAGTAATAAATGTGAGTGAGGAAAAAAGTATAGTACTTGAAAAAACACGAGTGCCTGTAACACTTTAAAAAAACATGAAGAGAATATTTTCCATCATCTTTGGTTACGTAGCACAAAAACAATTTAGTACGGAGTAGGATGTTGAAGACATCACAAAAGCTGAAAAGCATGTTGCTATTTATTGGAAAGGTTATAGATCGAATTAGATATTACTACTCACTCATATTATTACTAACGATTAACACAACAAAGGCTATTTTTAAACTTATTCACATATTTGCTCCGCGTAAAAACTTATTAATAGACTAAATTAGTTCCCATATGATACATAAATATAATAAAAAAGAATTTATAATTGTGTATATTGTCAAGTCACACTATCACTCAAAAAACATAAACTAAACTACAGAAACTAAAATAATTAGACAAAAGAAAATTCATGTCTACTTTGTAAAAACTGAGAGTGAAAACCGAGAGTGAGGCGATGATTAGGAGGTAAAGCTCTACTTTTGGTCGCTTCTGCATCGTCTTCTTCTTCGCCATTTTTAGGTAATCTTCTTCATCTTCCTCCTTTTCTCCCTCTTTCTTCCTGCACTTCGTCTTTCGATTTTTCCCCTTTTTCTTTTCTTATATCTCCTCTTCCATTGCTATTTCATTCCCGATTTTACTCTTATCGTCCCAAACATTTTGATTTTCATGTTAATGCTCATGTTGGTGATGACCCCAAATTGTTTCTCAAATTTGTTAGACAACAATCCAAATTAGGGTTTTCTGATGTTGAAACCCCCCTTTCTCTTTTCGATCATATGAAATTGATTCGCCCACTTCCTGGTATTATCGATTTCAATATGCTTTTATCATCCATTTGTAAGATTAAACCCCACCCCCCTTTCTCCACTGTCATTTCTCTTTACAGGCAGCTCCTTTTCTTAGGTCTTCGTCCAAATGATTATTCCCTTACCATTCTCGCTAATTGTTACTGTCGCTTAGGCAATGTTCATTTTGGGTTGTCTCTTCTCGCTTTTACCTTTAAGCTTGGTTATCAGCCTGATGTTGTCACCTTTACTACCCTCATCAATGGCTTCATTCACTCTAATCAATTTGAAAAAGCCGTTCGATTGTTGGATAAAATTGTCAAGCTTGGCCTCCAACCCACATTAGTCACTTATGGTTCTATGTTCAAAGGTCTCTGTAGGTCCGGTGATAATGCCGGTGCTCTCAAACTCCTTAGAAATATGGAGTCTTATGGCCATTTTATGCCTAATGTTGTCATTTACAACACCATCATTGATAGTCTCTGTAAAGACCAGCTGTTACCTCAGGCTCTCCACCTTTTCAAGGAGATGAAAGTCAAGGGAATCTCCCCTAATGTTGTCACCTATACTACCTTAATTCGAGGTATGTTCACTTTGGGACAGCTGAAAGAGGCTCAAGAAATGCTCACTGAGATGTTAAGGAACAACATAACTCCTACCACTGAGACCTACAGCATGTTGATTGATATGTATTGTAAAGATGGCAAGGTTGGTGAAGCACGGGACATTTTTGTTCACATGATTGAGAGAGGATTTGTTCCCAATATCATCACTTACAATGCTCTGTTAGATGGATATTGTTTACGTGGTGAGATGGATGAGGCAAGAAAGCTTATGAATTTGATGGTTGAAAATGGTTGCAAACCTAATGTAGTTACTTACAGCAGCTTAATCAATGGCTATTGCAAGTCTAAAAGGATTGACAGAGCTCTTGGTCTGCTCCTAGAGATGCATTTTAACGGATTAGCCCTGATGTTATCACGTACAGCACTCTTATAGATGCCTTGTGCAAAGACAATCAACTCAAGCTTGCACACCAGTTTTTCAAGGAAATGGAAGCTCATGGACTAAAGCCAGATGTAATAACTTGGAACTCATTACTTGACGGCATGTGTAGGAATGCACAAATAGATAAGGCAGTTGCAACAGTGAAGGAAATGGAGAGCACTGGAATGGTCCCTAATACTATTACATACAGTATCCTAATGGATGGTTTTTGTGAAGCTAATCGCCTTAGAGAAGCGTTGGATATTTTCTCCTTTCTCACAACTAAAGGGCTGCTTGATGTGCGTGCTTACAACATAATGATAAAAGGGTTTTGTAAAGAAGGGTTGCTAGCAAAAGCCGATGAATTATTGAAGAATATGGAGGACAATGGATGCTTTCCAGATGAATGCACCTTTAATACAATTATTAGAGGATTTATAGATGGAAAGGACATTAGCAGAGCATTAGAGCTTGTCAGGTTGATGAGAATCAAAGAGTTTGCTGCTGATAATCACACTATATCATCATTTGTGGGCTTACTCACTGATCCAAATATCGATGATGCAGACAAGGATTTGCTGAAAAAGTTTTTGGAAAACTGAGCGAGCGATAATTAGGAAAAATGGAAGGAGCAATGACTAAAACATACGTATATGATCAGCTGTGACAGAGATGTGTACACAGATATTGTGAGTGACTTGTGAATCAGTAAGTCAAATACTAAATTTGTGACTTTTGATTGATTGTAGGAAAAGGCATTAACATCTGTGATTTGGAACATTTGATTTACTTCTTTTTGGGCTTGCTTTTACTTGAATGGTGCTCATGGAAGCAGATGTGGATTGGCCTATTGTATTAATTTGCGTGTGTTTACTTGGTATCCTCCAGCGAGTTGCATTTGTTTTCTTATTATGCTTTGAATAATAATGGAGCCAGAGCTCAAGTTTAGCTATATCTTACTATCTAAGCCGTGATACAACCATGGCAGATGCTAGGTTCAAGAACAGGGGCATTTAAGGTCAATAACACCAGTCGTGTCTCAGCTCTCTGCATAATAACTACCCATTGAAGTCACTGTGTCATTGAAGATTTTTCTTCTTCAGGGCACTAGGAACTTGCTGAACCAATTTCATGTTTTGATCACATAGCATAGTTATAATTTCAAGATTATGTCCTTTTGACCTGGTCTTCTTTTGTTATTTTCTTTAATTTTTCCCATTCTGAAAAGAAGAAGAAAAGAAGCAAAAGGGGTAAAAAAAACCCTCAGGTTTAGAGGTCAATTTAAGCTGGTTAAGCTGCAATATAAAAGATACAGCCCGGTTTATAAGAACGTCGCCCATAATCTCATTGGAGCTCTAATAGGCTATTTAGCTAAGTCTGTAGAATTATGATATTCTTGTTCGCACACTTGATTTGTTTGCAGATTTTAGTTTGTTTATTTGCAAATTAGAATGTGTTTGGTCCTCTGATTTTTTTTCTCAGTATATTTTACTAGGCTTTCCTGCTGAGTTGTATTTTTGTAGCATGCTAGTTTGGACTGATTTTTTCTCATTTCTGTTTTGGTTTACAGCATAGAATTTATGTTTTGCAGTACTAAATATTAAATCTTGAGGCAGGCATGTTCTCATTCTCCTTTGGTCATGAGCACAACTGATTTTGAGAGGAAGATAGAAACGAAAGGCTATCCCCACAATGAGAATGGTTTTCAATATGGCAGCTGAGTTAGTAACTAATTAGACTGCACTAATTTATATCATCTGAAGCACTAATCGGCTTCTACGAAGAATTATTGAAACACTAGTGTTGGTCGGTTCGGGTGTGAGGCTGAGAGTGAGCCAAACCAAACCAACCCAACAATATGTTAAATAAGGCTGCTGAAGCTCAACTTATAACATTCTGTAAACACCGAAAATACTACCAACTTGGTAACTATCTTGTTTAGAAGCTGAAATACAGTATAGTTTAGTTTTCCAACAAGACATGGACAAATCCAACCAAAGTTACGTAATGACTTGAACCGAAAACATGAACCTAATGAAGTAATCTTAAACAGTCTTAGTTAAGAATTTAAGATAGATAAAAGTATATCATACTCGGCTACTCCGTATTTCATAACCAAATACGCCCAAGGTTTAGTATCAATATCAGCTTTACTTGCTTTATTATTATAACCCATAAAGTTAGAAATTTAAAACTAACGAATAAATTTTATTTTTTTTAATTTTTTTTTACTACTGTACTCCGTAATTTCTTCAACACAAATATTATCAATAGTACAGAGTATCACTCCTTTCATGTGTTTTTTTAAAGTGTTTCGCTTTGTCCGACACATAGTTTTGGGAAATTTAATCTACGTAAATAAAATAAAAGGTAAGTATTGTAGTTGTATTATTAAAAAATTGTAAAAGAAAAAATGTGAGTTTAATAATTTATTGAAAAGTAATGAATGTGAGAGAAAATTAATAATCCGGAGTTATAATACAAAAAAGTAATACGGAGTAGTGGTTTTGGGTGGGGAATGGGGATCATGAAATGAAAAAGACAAAATATTAAGGAAAATTTAACAAGAATAACCAAAATTTGCCTCATTCTCCCAAAATAACCTTAGGATTATTTCACAATAATCCAACCTTTATACCCCTTCTTCCCAAAATGAACCCAAATGACTAGTTACCTAAATAACTGATCATCCCTTTCCCTCTCGTTCCTCCCACCATTTGCCATCATCTTCCTCCATTACCACCACCACCATTTGACTCCATTGTCACCAACAACACGGCAACATCACTCAACACACCATCCAGGCATCCACAACCACCACCAACACCACCATCTACAACCACCTCAACACACCAACATCACCATGACATCCACGACCAAACCACAACACAACCGCAACTATCACCCGCAACACCAACTACCCACCTAGCCACCCACGACAATCAACAAGAAAACAACCCCTATCTATTCCAGCCCCATAATTGAAGACATATGCCCCAACTTTGCCTTAAATTTAATTGAGAGAGAAAGAAGAATAGGAAATAAGTTTTGATGGGGAGGTAAATAAGTGGAGTTTGATGAGGGAGGGGAAGGGGTGGCGGGAAGGTTCAGGGAGGTGAGGTTAGGGTTTCGGAGTCTGGGTATGTGGGGTTGGATGGTTTCGGGATATGGGTAGGTGGGGCTCGTGGTTTCAGCTAGGTGCACGTGGGTTGGGTGGTTTCGAGTCTAGGTAGGAGTGGGGGAAAGGTTTTGGGTCTAGGTTTGGGTGGGAGTGGCGGAGGTGGTGGTGGCTCAAGTTCAGGTGGTTGGTGATGGTGGC